CTTGTCATTTCTGTCCTGGCCCAGTTTAACAGACCCCTTGATGCCGCCTGGCCCCTCCAACTTGCTGCCCCCCCTGCTACAGTGGGCCTTCCCAAACATAATGAATGAAACTGCCACTTCTCTGCTTGACACAGAGGTCCCTGTCACCAGCCCTGCAGGGAAGCCCATGTCCTTGCAATGATGGGCAGAGCAGGGCACAGAAAGGCCAGGGGAGAGAACTGATTCAGGGCTGAGGTTATGGCAGATTAACAGAGACCTCAGGGGCCAAGGAGTGAGCTTTCTGTCCTAACAGCAGCGGGCAGCGGGAGAGGATTTGCAGCAGGGGACATGGTCACATGCACATTCCCAGGCCTTCCCTCCGGTCCACACCCACCCTGTGTTCATGCAGAAGCACTCATCAGTCTGAGAGCTGAATCTATGGCTCTGGCTGACTGAGTGCTCCCTCAGGCAAGGTCCAGAACCCAGAACCCAGCTCGAGCCAGCTGCAGCAGAGGCCAGGAGAGGGCCCAGGAGCACGTGTGTGGGGCGTTAGGGGCTTACCCTGCACAGCTTCCTGGGGCTTCCAGAACATGTCTGAGTTGATCAACATCTCTTTCCGGTTACGGTTGACAATGATGATCTTGCTGCTTCGGCTGAGGACACGGCCATAGGACAGACGGAAGTCACACACAACTCCTAGGGTGGGAGACAGGGGAACAGTGGATGGAGGGCCAGTGTCCTGGGGGATGCCCACTACCTAATTTAATCTACCATAGCAGACTGAATACAAAAGGGTGCCCGTTCTTCACCTCTCCATGGCCCCATGCCACCTGTGATGACTTTGTAGCTCCCCTGCCCTTAAACCTGGGCTGGCCCCGGGATGTGCTCTGGCCAGCAGCATGTGTCAGGAGGGCTGGCATGCATTCCTGAGACCAGGCTTCAATAAGCCTTGCAGCTTTCACTCTCCTTTAAATAACCTTGCTCCCCCGCCCTACATGTTTCATCCTCCAAGTGAAGCAGCCCAAGCCAGCCTGCTGGATGATGAGGAACATGGAGGAGGAGGTAGAGAAGAGTGAGAACTCGGAATCCTAGCTGAGGCCATGCCAACCCAGCGATAGCCCCAGCCAATCCCCAAGTATGTGAGCCAGCCCAGCCTAGATGGGCACAGCTGCCCTCCTGCCTCCCCAACCAGACTCCTGAATGAGCCCTGCCAAAACCAGAAAACCTACCACCTTACCTGTTGGTGGGTCTTGAGAAATAATAACTGCATTTTAAGCCACTGAATTTTGGAATGGTTATTACACAGCAATAGCTAACGGATACAAGTATTATGTGTCCGGCAGACTTCAAAGCACTTTATGTGAAAATGTATATGCCGTATGTGTACATGCTGTATAAAGGATAAATGCTGTATAACATGTACAAATGCAAATGCTGTGCAGAAAGTTCCACAGAGCCCACTATCTGTGTGTCCTCCTTTGTGCAAAGCTGGGTCACAGCACAAAACTACAACCTGGCACTAGTTCAGGTGAAGTTCAAATTCAGAGTTGTTCAAAAACCTTGAAAGGGGCAGGAGTCGGGTTGGTGAGCACCAGATTAGGAGGGGCAGGATCATAGGGTAAGGGGGGTCCTGGAGTGAGGGAAAGGGAAGAGAGGGGGTGGAGGCTGAAGCCCACCTGCCAGGAGAACAACATCTGCCTTCTTCAGGGCGGCACCGCGGTTCTGCCGGATGTGCAGGGGGTGGTTTCGGCCCAGCAGCCCCCGTGCCATCCCGCCCAGGAAGCAGGGGACACCCAGAGTCTCCATGGCAGCCCTGCAAGTCCAGGTAAGCAGAAGTGAGTGTGGCCACGGCCCTGCCAGTCCCCACAGGGCACCAGGGGACCAGGGACCAGGAATGTGATAGTAAAGGCAGGGCTGAGGCTTCTCACCGAAGCTTGCTGGCAGGTGTTGGGGGCAGTAGGGCCTGGCTCCCCAGCACCACAAGGGGCCTTTTGGCCCGGCTGAAGATCTCCACACAGCGCTGAACCTGGGGCAAGAGGTGGGGCCCTGAGTCACCATTAGCCCCCAAGATCAAAGTCCCAGTACTGACTCAGGGACAGGCTGTCCTGCCAGGTGGGGTCCTCGGCCAGGAAAGAGGGGTAATTTACCTGCTGGGGGGGTGCCTGGGGGATGTCCAGAGGTAGGGGCCCTTCAGGCCGAGGCTCCCAGGCTCCTGCAAAGAGATTGGCCAGGTAATTCTCTAGGTACCTGCGAAGAGGAAAGGAAAGGGTGGTTACCAGGATTCATACTGAGGTTCCAGGAGCTGAAGGAGGGAAGTCGGACAGGCACAGGGGTGGTCGAGCAGTGGCCCGGGGACAAACCCCAATGATCAAGTCTCCAGCAGCCAGTTTCCCCTTGGAAGCTTCTGATGACCACTCCCACCGGACACAGACCCTCAGAAACAAGTGACACAGGCAGGGCGTGCCAGGATCAGGGACAGCTGCAGGCTTAGGCAGAGGTGGCTCTGCCGCTTCCGAGCTGTGTGACTTTGGGCAAATGATAGAACTTTTCTGAGCAAACTGCTCTGTAAAATGTAAAAGGAAGCCTCCCTCCCAAGGCTCAGTGAACTATCCATTCAGGATACAAAGCACTTTACAAAACCCTCCATCAGTGGAGCCATTCACATCATCAGTACGCTTGCCTTTCTCTAGCTTCCGACATCCCCTTCTCTGTCTCCTTACTCATTGGGACACAGGGCCCCGGTTTTCCATGAAGCCCCGTGCAGGGCTCTGGAGATACACAGATAAATCCTGCTCAGCCCTGCCCTTAAGAACGCCCAATCCAGCCAAAACCAGATACATGGGTGTTGGCAGGAAGCAGTCGGAACGGGAAGCTTCTGTTTCTCTTTGGAGTCAAACTGCAGAGAATGAGAAGAGGCCAAGGAAGGAACCATGGAGACCCCCAACATGGAAAGAAAAAGAAAAAGCTAGCCTTGCAGGGGGCTGAGGAGGGAAGCCTGGGAGGAGAGGA